CCCCATTAACACCTCTCTGTGCTGCGAAGGGCACCATAGGCTTGAATTAACGCCATGGCCCCTGATTCTGAGCCTTCTGCTTCAGCACTAAGGAGATTCCAAGCAAATTCTCAAGTTCACAGCCAACATCTGCTGGGAGCTTTTCCTTTGGGAAGAGGCTGTGTATTTTTGCTCTGACCCAAAGAGAACTGACCTCTGATCTTACATAGCCTGGAGGCACATTTACTGCCAGGGTGGATGGAGCTGAAGGAACCCATAAAAATCACCTAGACACAGTCGTCACAGAGGGTAGAGCAGGCTTGCAGGGAAGCTTTAGTCCCTTAGCTGGTTCACAAGCCTTTTGTTGTCTTTACACCCCCGTCTCACCCATTACTCTGGTTCCATTTTCTTTACATTGCCTTGAGCATGCGCATTCCTGATCCACTTTCTCACAGGTTTCAGACTTTAAAGTGAACTGTCTTTTCAGACATGATGCTGATCTTGGATGTCACCAGGGCTTGCTCAGCATCTATGCCTAAGCCCGGAAGTGGTCCCTTTCCAGTCAGGCAGAGCCTTCACCTTATTCTTCATTGCAGTTTTGAAGTGTTCCCAAGTTAGATGGGTCCATAAACACAGCCACTTTTAACATAACCTGCCCTTGGCTCGTTTTCCTCACCATCTGCAGCCACTGTAGAAGCCCCTGGTGCCCTTTCTTAGGAGTTCCTGCCACTCACTGGAGAAAAGAGAAGATGGGGAACCTCAGGAGGGCATACACTCAGTCCAGACAGAGGGGCTAGTACAGAAGCTGGCTACCTCTTCTCAGTGTGCTGGAAGAAGGATTGGGAAGTCTTAGATCCCAGGATCCAGGTGTCTGCAGCAACAGCATTGCCCTGTGTCCAGGGAAAGATTTGTTCTGTGGTTTAGTGGAATCTATGGTAGAAAAAGCATTTCATAAAATGGTTTTTACTGTATTTGGAAAAATTCACCCTCTAGCCAGATGGATCAGAAGTAATATTTTTTCCAGAAGCGTCCATATGTTTTGAGACACACTAGCAAAGCCAAGCCCAGAAATGTCAATTTGCTAAAAGTAGGGCAAAACCACATTTTCTTCCTGGAGAAACTCAAGATCTCGGGGGTGGGGGGTGAGGTTTGGACGTGTCACTTTGGACTGGGTGGAGGCAGAGTTGCCATCTGGACACAGACTAGTAGCTCTGGAGAGGACACCACCCTGCCTCTGGGCCTTCCAGAACTCAGCTCTCTACAAGGTCCTGGCCTTCTTGTGATGACATTGGGAGATGTAAATAAACACTGGCTTGTCATCCATCAGAGACTGAAGCATTTCAAAAAGTGAGGGCGGTTTTGAGCTTCGAGAATTTGGGAGCAAAGTGCAAACTTGTCACTAAGAAACCAGCATCCTGAAAACAGAGATGCTTGCTGACTCTGGGAACATTGACAACCCACCCAGGCAAGCCCCTGAACTCTGCAGCTACTGCTCCTTCTTCGTCACCTTAAATCAACGTTCTTTTCAGAAGTGCATTTGAGACTGTGCTCGTAAGTCTGGAAGCTTGTCTTTATCCAGGCCAAGCTTTCACAGTGAAACCTAAGCAATCCGGCAGTTGGGGGGGACATCAATTATTTATAAGTTCCTTAAATCATCTGGTGGTGATGGGGAATTTCCAGGTGCTGAGCAAGCTGTGTGGAGATCACTGAGTGATTGACATGCCAACTACCAGGGTCTGTAAACCCCCATAGTTTGATCAAATCAAAGGCACCGTCAGGTTCCGCTGGCAGCATGTGAACTACCAGGCACTCCCTGTGTTCACTTGCCAAATGCTCGTCAAGCAAAAGGCTGGCTACCCTCAGCATGCTGACGTGAGCTGAATCCTGATGCCCACCAGGCAGGCCACACAGCCCTTCTTCGTCTCAGGTAGCTAGTGCTCATTCCCCTGATAAGGACAACAGCGTGCATCTTAAAAAGCACTCTGTCAAGAGAACATTTTATGCAGAGATCTGAGATCTTAGTATTCCAGCATTGCCTCTTGCATGTGGAGAAGGCCAAGGAGGTGATGTCCCTTCTGCCGTACACTGGGTTGTGGGAAAGTCCTTACTATGTCAGAATGCTGTGAAACAGCTGCTTAGGACCCAGGTGAGGCAAACTGTCAATACACCTTTGATGGGTATAAATCCACACCGTTGCAGATCAAAGTACACGGAATGACTTAATTAAACTGAGACACTCATTAACACAAGCCAGAAATCTGGCTCCAAATGCACACCTTTAAGTTATACCTTGAACTTTTTTGAATACAAGGAGCAATTAGGAAACCTAATCCAGGAAGTCCAGGACAGAGACACACAACACAGCCATTTGTCAAAGATGAGTCTCCTCTCACTCTGCACAGTGCAGTCTGCCACTCCTCTCAGTTATCCGTGTGTCTGTTGCCTCCTCCTCTCTCCCCTCCTTATCATTTCTTTGTCAATTAATCTCTTTTAAGAAAGGAACTCTTTACCACCCAATAAACTGATTTAGTAATTCCCTATTGGATCAAATTCCACTTTCACACGCATCTTCTGAGCTCTTGTTCTGGTCTCTAGGAAGAAACCCAGAGGGGTGAGCGAACAGCCATGTTGGGCAATGGTGCTCTGCCATAGCCCACGGCAGGGTCAGAAGGAATGGCCATGGCAGGCAGAGCCAGGCATACCTACAACATCAAGAGGAGCGCTCACCACTACTGCCTCCCTCTCACAGTCAAAGACAGCCACACTGCAGCCCAGCACACACAGTGTCAGGAGGAGCCCTACCACATTGGTCAACATTTGGAAGCTCTAGACCTGTCCATAATCTCAGGTGTGTCTCAGAAACGCAGTAGGAAACTTGTCCTCAGAGGATGTGTGCAGTTCGGTTCTTTAATTGTTGGCCAAACATCAGCTTCATAATGAACTATTTTAAAAAGCCAGGGCAGGGGGTAGGGGGAGGCTGCTTTAAAAGAAGTAAATGGTCAATGTAAAATTTGGAATAATTTTACCCGAGTGAGGAGAGGGTGGGGAGAGAGGACACATTTGGGAAAATGAACAGCAGGACCTCAGGTGCACAGAGGCATTCTGCATCATAGCCTCCACGTTGGCACATGGACGCCTTGGCTTGGATCACGAGCGCTACATGTGTGCTGTTTTACATATGAAATACAATAAGATAAAAATATTAAGCCACAAGTAATAAAAATATTAGGGATATTTAGCTGGGTGTGATTGTACATGCCTGTAACCCCAGGACTTGGAAAGTCAAGCTAGGATTTAAGCCCAGCCTATGTTACCTGAGACCCTTTTTTAAAAATTTCAAGTATTTAGATATTTTTATTGTTGGTTTTCATCTTTTTAAGACTAAGTCTCATTATATAGGTCGGCCTGATCTGGAACTCACACTCTTCCTGCCTCAGCTTCTCGATTACTGTGATTATAGGCATGGAACAGCACTCCCTGTTAGAATGTTTAAAGTAATGTTCATAGGATATTAAATATGGAGCTGAGTGAGTTTTTCAGGGGCTGAGGAGACAGCTCGGTGAGTAAACTGTTTCTATACAGGCTTCAAGGCTTGGGTTCAAGTCCTAGGACTCACATAAAAGCTGAGCATGATGTTCTGTCTTTAACCCCAGCTCTGTGAGGGTGGAGACAGAGAAATACTGGGGACTAGCTGACCAGTAAGTCTAGACAAAACTGTGAGCTCCAGGTTCAGTAAGAGACCTGTCTCAAAAGTAAGGTGGAGGATGAGAAAGGCACCCAACATCAACCTCTAGCCTCCACGCACTTATGCATGGGCAAGTGCACCTACACATACATTCGTACATCAAGGACATGCACACATGCACACACACACACACACACACACACACACACACACACACACACACGCACATATGCATACATCACACACATACATGCACACACATACACTCCATACATACATGCTCACATGCATATACCACACACACACACACACACACACACACACACACACACACACACACACACACAGAGGCATGCCCACATGAATCCTGGGTGTGTGTACAAGTCAAAAGACCACAGTGTTGGTCTTTCCCTTTCTCCTAGAGACAGCGTCTCTTGTCAGCTGCTGTGCGCTCCAGGCTAGCTGGCCCTTGAGCTTCTGAGAGTTCTCTCGTCTCCATCTCTCATCTTTCTGTAGGAGTGCTGGAACTATGGATGTGCACAATCATCTCTAGCCTTGAATAGAACAAAGGGGATCTTAATTCAAGTCCTCCTGCTTACAAGACAAGTGCCCTGTCCACTGATCCAACCCCTCAGTTCCCTAGTCTATATATGTTAGAGTTGTCCAACCCCTCAGTTCCCTAGTCTACATATGTTAGAGTTGTTCAACCCCTCAGTTCCCTAGTCTATATATGTTAGAGTTGTAGGTGATTCTGGTAAAATTACTTTCTACAAGTTTCTGAGATTATCATGTGTTCCTTAATTTGCTAGCCAGTCTTGGATTGGTATTCTAAAATATAGGTGTTACGTATGCATACCAGAGTCCTATATGCTTTAACAGTATGCATGGAAAAACCCAAAAGTATGGTGCTGTAATTTATATTTTACAATCAGTTTACTTACACAGTTCAAGGAGAACATAGCCATTTATATTTCCGTGCACTTATTGTTCTGATGTTCTTTCTAATGACCCCCATTTCTACCTGTTTTAACCCCTCTAGCCCAAGTGATGGTTGTAACCATATCAGAACACAGGCCCACAGGGAAGAAATTGTCTCAGTTTACATCATCTGAAAATGATTTATAGTCTTTCACCTTTGAAGAATAGTTTTTCTGGTTTCTAAGTTAACAAACACTTTTCGTTCTGCAAACCTTAGGAGAAGTTCTTTTAGTGATTTATTCTCTGCCTATATTTAGTTTCTAGAATTTTTGCTTTTGTTGTGACAGTTTTGCTGTGCTTGGGTGTGGACGTCTCTGTATGAAGTCCATCTGGGATTGCTGTCTTGTTCTTAAGGCTCTCTGCTCATCAACTCAGGGAAATTTCCCCTGTTCTCTCTTTAGCTGGTGTCTGCTCCATCTCCTCTCTCCTTCTGAGACCTGGCAACGTGTCTGTTAGAGTCTTGGCATTGACATACTGGTAAGTTTGGATTGATCTGTTTTTATCCTGAGTTTCTATCCATGTATTTTCAAATGTACCCACCCTTCAGCATTGTGCATTGTGTCTGAAGTCTTGTCAGTGTGCTTTATAATTTCAGTTCTTAAGTTTTATCTAGAGATTCTCCTGATTCCTTCTCAATTGCTCTTCTCCGCACTCTTCACTGTTGGCTCTCGAGTTTCATTTTCTTCTGCATTTTTCCTCAAATGCATAAAAATTTGTAAGTCTTGTTCCTAGCTCCAGTTCTAGAGATTGAAAACCATTTTGTCGGTGTCTTTTCCTCATGGTGACCCTCATTTTCCTCATGGTGACCCCCACCTTCCTTTGTATATCTCATATTTTCTAATGGTGTTAGAAACACTGCCTACGGATGCATATTAGGTATGAAACACACCCACATTTTATTTTATATTTACTTGTTATTGGAGAATGTGAGCTCTTTTCTGGGTCTAATCAATAAGAGGAAGAAATAGCTACTCAGGTATTACCAAAAGCCACGATGAAGGAAGGCTACACACATTCTTGCCTTGTCAAGAGCAGGCACAGCTGTTCTGGGGCCAGCCTCAGCAGTTCACACCTCCCCTGAAGATGCAGTGGAGGGATTGTCTGCACCAAGACCAGTCTCAGCACTGATGGGTACATCTACTTACTTCAGATGCATGCCTGACCCAGGAGGTTGGATTTGGGCCCTCAATTCCAAGCACCATGAAGATAAGACAGACAGCAAATTCTACTTCTCAGCTCCCACGTCACCGCCTTTTAAAAAAATATATAAAATTGGTGTTGTACCAAGGATAATTTTCAAAATAAACAAGTTATTATTTCGCTTGGTGATTTTCCAGCCCGCACCGCCCCGAATGTGTCCAAAGCCGCTAATAGCCTGGATGAGCTCACCCTGACCTCGGAGAGTCTACTCCTGCTGACATGCTTTCTTCTCCAGCTCCCATGACTGAGAGGCCTGGGTTTTGTCCCCAGGAGAGTCCATGGCATCTGAAGGCCTCCTTCTCCTCTTCTTCCTCCTCATGTAGCTCAGGCTGGGTTCAAATTCACTATACAGCCAAAGGTGACCTTGAATTTCTGACCCTTGCTTCTACTCCCCAAGTGCTGAGATGATAAGAACGCATCACCAAACCCAGTTTGAGGTGGTCCTGGCAGTGAACCCAGGACTTTGTATATCCCTAGGTCCCCTAAGGTTGCTTTCCTTGGAGATAGTTCCACAGTGCCTTCTTTTATCACAAATATTCTTACAGATAAGAATTCTTCTAAATCTACTTTTCTTTTTTCCTTATTTGTAGGATCACATACAATTAACATCTAACATTTTTAATGTCTATAATTTTAAAATGTCAGTCTGAAAATGTATACTCCCATTGAAATCTTTGTGTTAAAAGGCGCTGATCGCAGACAGACAGAGCCGGTGCTTTCATAGTTCTGCTTCATGCTGAGCAAGTGGTGATGAACTTTGAAAGGCATGCTCTGCTCCTTGTTAGCAGCTCTGGAATCTGTGAGGCTGGCATGTGATAACAGACAGTGTGACTACTATTAAAATAGGTTCTAAATGATTTTGTGTCAGTATTTACCAGGGAAATGAGGCTGGCTAACTGAGTATTAAAGTTAACATGGTGATTAGTGCAAGGTTTGAGTCCACCCCATGCGGGCCAATTAGTTTTCTACTCTGAGCCCACACATGACAGTCTCCTTCTTCCTACGGTCCTGCCTGACATGTAGGCATATTGAGGGATGGAATTTGAATAGATCAACACAAATTCACGTGTGAGCCAGGCCTCTTGTGTTGTGTTTATTTGATTCTAGTTCTCGGCTGCAAAATGGCTCGACAGGAAGAGGTTTTTTCCTGTGCCAGCCTGACAGCCCGAGTCAGAGTCTTAGCATGCACATGGTGGAAAGAGAGTAAATGACTCCAACAGGCCTCCACATACCCCTTGTGGCAGGTACGGGCGTGCGTGCACACGCATACGCGCGCACACACACACACACACACACACACACACACACACACACACGCACGCACACTAAACACTGCTTTTTAAAAAGGTCTAATTCTACATAGAATGAATTGCAGCACTAACGGCAGATTAGAGACCTATTCAGTGGTGTAGAAGATCGCCCATTTACTCTGGCATCATTCCCTTTACAACCATCAGATCCTTTGGGTTTTCATTTGATTATCATGAGAGTGAGCATGTTAGTACTAAAATGATGAGATTTACTGCAGAGTTGATAATTAAGGTGCCACCAAATGTTTCAAGGAGTACAATATCATCCCCACTTGGTAGACACAGGAGGATCACATGTTCAAGGCTTTGAGTTGTAGAGTGAGTTCAGGGTAAACCTGGCTGACTTAGTGAGACCCTGTCTGTCTTACACAGTGAAAGAGATAGGTATGTAAGTGATGGAGTCCCTGCCTGTATGTGTGTGGCCCCAGATTCAATCCAGTACTGACAAAAGAAGGAGGAGGGAGAAGGAGGAATTGGAGCAGACATTCAAATTAATACTTGCTTAAAAACCAGGGTAGGAGTTTGGCATCCCTCTCAAGCTTGCAAAGACTCCAGGGTGGGTTATATATCTCATCTGGGACTGTTTGAAAAACCAATAAATGATTTACAAAGACACTGACTGACTTTAGAAACTGCTGTAAGTTTCCATCAAAATTTTTTCTATGATTTACTTTTATTTCCTTAATTATGTTCTCGTGTGTGTGTGTGTGTGTGTGTGTGTGTGTGTGTGTGTGTGTGTGTGTGTAAGTGCACATGAGAGCATATGCTCTTGAGGGTGAGAACGTGGCATCTGACTCACTGGAGCTCTGGAGTCACGGGCAGTTGTGAACGGCCTCATGCGGGTTCTGAAAACTGAAGTTTGGTCATCTGGACTGGGGTCCTCTGGAAGGACAGTATACACTCTTCAGTACTGACCCATCTCTCCAGCCCCTGCTGTACCTTTTCAAAACCAGTAACACCGTGCATTTCTCTCTCTTATCCCTCTTTTCATGTGCATACAGTTACGCATATACAAATACACACACACACACACACACACACACACACACACACACACACACGATTCAAATTTAAGTGAAAATTGCCCCTTTATAGTGTGAGAACCACCACTTAAGGAAATAACAAACATTTTGTGCAGACATATTTAAAAATGACTCTGAGATTTAGATATAAAATAACTGTGAACATTCATTAAAAAGCAACAGACATTAGGTCAGACTGTTTAAAACCGGCTCTGCAGAGACTGGAGAGCAGAGTGCAATGGCCACACCCCTCCCAGAAACTGTTTCCAGAGCTAAGAATCAGAAACCAGACCGTGACCTTGTTATCTTCTCCCACAGAGTCATTTTCTTTCTTTGGCTTCATGCTCTTCTTAGATTATTTGTTTTGTTTCCTTTAATGTCGTTTAACTTTGGTTTTATTTTTGTAAAGTTTTGCACGATCTATAATCACAGTCCCTGTGACATCAAAGTTCCAGTTGCTGAAGTGGTACTGTGGCCCCTGCTGGCTGGTGACACACAGTCTTCCTTGCTTGGATGCTTGGAGGAGGAGCTATTTGATAAGTTAGCTCCAGCTACAGGGAACCTTAGGTGGTTTAAGAATCTCATTATTCTGGGGGATAAAACAATACATTTTCCCCATGTCTTGCAAAGGAAGGGAAAGAGAGTAATTTCTGTATAACAGGATAAGACTGGTTACTATTTAGAACAATTCCTTGATTGACACATTGTATGTTACTCCTGAAACATTGTCTGGAACTCCTAACAGGCAAACCGGTTTGAGAAATACATTCTACAAGATGAGAACTGAGATTTACAGATTGTGCAGAAGAGTGTTGGGGAAAAGTGCAAGGTGAAGACCTGCAGCCTGTATTTCCTCTACAAAAGAGAGGTGGAAAAGGCTTTTCTAAGAGCAAAGATGTCTAACCATCAAAACAAGCATGTCCTACTTTAATGTCTGGCTTGAGTACACTGTAACATATACATCTGTGAGTCTGCAATGCGTATATATCACAGAGGAAGGTGGAAGATAATGTTTGGGAAGAGGTGAGAGGTGTCTTATTCAAGGTTCTATTGCTGTGATGAGACATGACCACAGCAACTCTTACAAAGGAAAACATTTAATTGGGGCTGGCTTACAGTTCAGAGGTTTAGTCCATTGTCACCATGGCAGGAAGCATGGTGGCATGCAGGCAGATATGGTGCTGGAGAAGGAGCTGAGAGTTCTACATCTGGATCAGCAGGCAGCAGGTGAGTCATTGGGCATGGCTTGAGCTTCTAAAACCTCAAAGCCCAACCACCAGTGACACACACTTCCTCCAACAGGGCAATACCTCCTGGCACCACTTGCTAATGATCAGGCTTTCAAAAATATGAGTCTATGGGGTCTTAATAAGTCATTCCTACTCAAACCACCATAGATGTGCAGAGAAGAGGCAGTGAATAGAGACAGTTTTATAAATAATTACCAAGTATTCGATTGTAAAGAAAGCAAAATCTGATCAAGGAGCTTGGTATGGCAAAACATGGAAGAGCTGATGTTTGGGTTTGGGAAGGGTGAGGCCATGAGCCCCTTGGTCCAGGTGAATGAGGTATCATTTCATCCTGAAGCTCCCAGGAACTACTAAATCCATTAGTGAGAAGGACTGGGCAGATTTGCAATCTGGCAGATCTTGGGGCTGCATTCACCAGAATGTCATTTCAGGGAGGTCATTGTGGAATTGGGAGCCTCATTAGGGGGTTGTTGGTTTTCCCAAGCATCATGAAAAACTTAAGTTATGGTAAAGATGTAATGTAATTTATTATACAGACACAGAATATAAATTTATAAAACTGAAAGACTGGGGCTATAGCATGGTGGTATAACATTGCCTAACATACACAAAGCCCTTGGTTTGATTCTCAGCCCTGAAAGAGAGAGGAATGGGTAGATGAGGGGCTTAATAATACATATAGCCTATGGAGGGTA